CCTTCCTTCCTTCCTTCCTTCCTTCCTTCCTTCCTTCCTTCCTTCCTTTTTGTAAATTCACTGTGGATACACCAAATTGTGTCAAAAATAAGGGGAAATTAATAGCCAACTCCTACAAAAGTTTTATTAATGAAAACCAAATTGTTCTCAAAGACCTGGCCATAGAAAGGAAAGCTTTCTCAGCAGAGATGGGAGGAATAGGGAAGCAGGAAAATGTATAAATCAGGGGCTGTGGTAAGTGTAGTCTGTATAAAACATCATTCCTTATCACTGGTAGCAGTGGTGGAAGGAATTGAAATTACAAAAGTGATTTTTTTTTAAAAAAAGCCAACTTTATTTCCACCCAGTTTATGCATAGCATTCAAGCACTTTAAGGCTGTGAGCAGAAAAGCCCATAGTTCTGCTAAGATCAATAATATTTATTAATTATAAATAGCTTGTCAATTAAGCAGATGGTCTTATGTTAGTGGGACAGTGATCCCATATAATGAGAAATCCATTTGGATGGAGTAACATTATATATATGAAAAAGGGCAGTCTTTTCAATGGCTGAAGGTATTTTTAAAAAATAATAATAAAATGCCTTTTAAGGGTTTACTATCACCTGTTTTCACAGTGTAGGGAAGTTATATTATGGGTTTTTAGCAATCTTGGTCAGAGGGAATCTCAAGAGTTGAAGAATGGAGACCTGGGCTAGGACCTTTCCTGATTTACATGTAACAGGTAGATTTAGTAGGCTGTTAAGCTTGCCTTGAATAGTTCTTTATTTGTTATATTTCTATCCTACATATTGTGAACTATAAGCACTCAAATGCAGCTTGCTATAATTAAATTAATAGCAGGAAAGTATACTTTTCTCTGTGAGGCTTTCCTTTTTAACAAGAGTAGATTAATTGGCTTCATACAACCACTCTATTTAGACTATAGAGACACATAATTTTTCCAGCATAAAGATGGGAACAGAAATAGGGTAACTATGAGGTTAAATGGTAGTTAATTACATTCTGCATATGATATGGCCACTTCAGTCTGTTGGCGATTCTTTCATAATTGTATTTATGACAAATTAATGACCTTTAGTTTCATTCAGCTGTATAATCCAATTACTGCTGAGAGACTTACAGATTTGATGTTGCACATGTATAATCCTTGTTAGTTTGGCTGTTGAAACTGAATGAGTGTATTTAAGCATACTTATTGTAAGAGAGCTTGTTTGGATAGTTTTCCCCCAACTTTCCTTCTCTAGATTGGTTGGAACTTTAATTCCCAGAATAGCCAATGATGCCAGTCAGCCATGTTGGGATTTCTTGTCCCAGCAATTCTAGAAAAGACCAGGCTGGGTACTTTTGAATGAGAAAACTGAACCTCTTTATAGATCTAAATTAATGATAACACTGTTCACAAACTTAATTGACAGGTAATGGCCAAATATTGTGGAGGTTTCAATCCTTTGCTCCCTTAGAATGCAGCTTCCCAAGTTGTACTGGGTGCAGTTTGCTTCCAGGTCTAATTCAGGATTTTGGTTATCACCTTTATAATCCTCACAGCATAGGATATCTGAGGAACCATCTTATCCCAATTATATTGACTCACCCCACCTGGCCAAATAGGGTGGTCATGCTGCATATCCACCAGGGAGTTTCAACTGGCAGGATCTAAGAGGAAGGCCTTCTCAGCTGCTGCTCTCACCTTATCGTACATCTTACTTGCAGAGTGAGGTGACTCTCCATTCTTCTGGTTCCCGGAAAAGCATTAAAGCATGGTTTTGCTAATTAGCACAGGCCGTCTAAAAGTATATAAAAGCCTGGGGATGTGCAGTGTTCTGAGTGCATTCCTGCTGCTTTGTTAACTTCCTAGTCCTTGAATTTTAATCTGATTTTTTAAAGTTTTAACGAGTTTTAAACTGTTTTTAAAGCTGTGCTTTTATTCATGTATTTGTAAGGTTTTCTTATGTTGCTGTAAACAACCCAGAGTCACTTAGGTAAGATGGGTGATGTAGATATTCAATGAATGAATGAATGAATGAATGAATGAATGAATGAATGAATGAATGAATGAATGAATGAATGAAAGAAAGAAAGAAAGAAAGAAAGAAAGAAAGAAAGAAAGCTCACCTCTGCTGCTGCCCTGGTGCCTGCCATTTGACTGAAAGGACAGATCTCTTTTAAACAGATTGAAGTATTCATTTCAGTTCAAATAATAGATATTGAAATATGTGTGAGGGTATGTACAACCTCTCCTGGAAACTGAATTCTCAGGAGTCAGACTTAGAAGTTCTTAGTTTGTTCCTAGTCTATAGCAGAGTTTTTCCAGTCTGGATCCTAAATTGCATTTATAACACAACAAGGGAAGCTTTTACTCTATTTCTTCCTATGACCTGAGGATTATTCTCCAATCATATTGCTAGTAGGAATCAGTGTATAAAAAGTCAACATAAATTGACAAAGTTCATCCATGCAGTAGTTATGTCCATAGTTAGGGGTATCAGAGTCGGGCTGGAAAAATATGGACAAATCTCTAAGTAGCATCAAATAATTTTCTGTATTGTTTTGCTTCTATCTAATAGTCATCTGGGTTTTTGTAACATAGGTTACCATATGTGAGGTCATGATATGTGAATATCTTCCAGAATGTTAGTTGGTAGTGTAATGAGGTTGATAACTAAGATAACTGGAATACGCTTTTCTTTATCCATGCTTTATACTTTTCCTTACCAAACTAAAACCTTGCAAGTGCTTTGCCAGGTGCCATTTTGACTGGCTAGATTTGTTAATTACTTAATCCCCATACTGAAACAACAATCATATTTTTTCAAAAAAATTTTCAAAATGAAGGGGAAGGAGGAGAAAGAGGTTTACTTGATTTGAAATTGTACTTTGCTGTTTGGTTTGGATGAAATAATGGGTATTAGTATACCCATTAGGAATTAGAATTTTCTAATTTTCTTTGGATTTAGAAGATTCTTTGGAATTAGAAGAATATGACCAGAGATTTGGGTCACATGGATATTTGTGTTACAATAAAGTACAGGTAAATGTGGATTTTAAAAATCATTGTTAGAAATGCCATATTGAGAATATTGAATCCTGGTTTTGCCCCTGAAATATGGCTCTCAGCACAAGAAGCATTTTGTAGTTGAGAAATAATAGGCAAGGACAAATGACGTTAATTGAAATACTAGAATTTTGACAAAGGAATGTAAAATAAAATCAAAGGGAAAACTGGTGGCAGAGAGAAGGAAATAGTTGTCAATCCTATTTATAATTTTTAGAAAAATATGAAGTGGAAAAAAAGAGAATTTTATGGTTTTGAACAATGTAAGACTGAGTTTGAAGTAGATTTGTGTACAAATGATAAACACATAGTTGTTAATGTTTATGGAGATTCTCAATCTTCCAGGTTATGGTTGTCCCAAAGGTGTTTTGTGAAAGACAAGTTTTTTTCTTGAAAATGTTTCACAGAACAAAAGAAGCTTCTTGGATGAGAAGCAAAATGTTTTCAACGAAAAAACAAAATCCAGTCACTTTTTGAAAAGCACCTTTGGAACATAGTTATTAAAATGTATAAACTTTTATTGAAGTTGGAAACAGAAGAACAAGTGTAAGACTTGTATGACAAGTATGTATGACGTATGTATGATGTATGTATAATGTATGTCTAAGTATGCATGATGAAGAATGTATGACAAAGTGGGCTAAATTTTTGGTTATAATACATAGATGGAACAATGAAAAAATATCTGTCTAAAATGACTGAAATGTACTTTGTTATCATCTTAATTCTTATTTGATGTACCGTTGGTATACAGTATATCACCAGAGAAATTGTCTAAGAATGTATAAAGGCGCTTCAAATTTATGTTGGAAACATCTTATTTTTATCATGTTTTAGCATAATCCAACAAACATTTACCAAAAAAGCTAGAAAATTTGAATTCAAATGCTATACATTGATTCAGAGGGTTTTAAAGATTCACCTACAACTGAGAACAAGTTTTTCCTTTGGAATAGATGGGCGAACAGTTGGAAGAAAAGTTGTGGAACTGTGTACATGACAACTGAAGCAAGATTATTGTATGTATAAAGATAGACAGATTCAGCATTACTGACATTGAAAGAATGGTTGGTGAAGATAATTTGCTCAGAACTTGCTGAGAAGATTAAATTGACTTTCATTGATGAGAAAAAAACCGTATCTATATTTACTGCTGATTGGAAACCCACTATAGACTTTTTGTGCGAGACAGAAAAAAGTGTTTTGATGATTAGACAGTGTATAGACTATAGAAGTGTGGGATTCGGTGGCGAAGATCGAAAGGCCGGCAGTTCAGCAGTTCGAATCCCTACTGCCGCGTAACGGGGTGAGCTCCCGTTACTTGTCCCAGCTTCTGCCAACCTAGCAGTTCAAAAGCACGTAAAAAATGCAAGTAGAAAAATAGGGACCACCTTTGGGGAGGGGGAAGGTAACAGCGTTCCGTGCACCTTTGGCGTTTAGTCATGCCGGCCACATGACCACCGAGACATCTTCGGACAGCACTGGCTCTTTGGCTTTGAAACGGATGAGCACCGCCCCCTGGAGTCGGGAACGACTAGCACATACGTGCGAGGGGAACCTTTACCTTTACCTTTAGACTATAGAAGGAAGAGAGTTATGTTGTAACCATGTAATAATCGAAGAGGTAGAGGTACTTATAACTGGTATAAAGAAGATTGGAAACTACTTCTCTGAATTGTTCTTTTTCTTTAATTCCCCCCCCCTTCTTCCTTAAAAAAATCTTTAATATGAGAGAGAGAGAGAGAGAGAGAGAGAGAGAGAGAGACAGACAGAGAGAGACAGACAGAGAGAAAGAAAGAAAGAAAACACCACGTTTCTAACGGACGCTGGGAGTTGTGGTTCGCAATACCCCGAAAGGGGAGGGTTACGCCAGTCTGCCTAGCGCACAACGCGCGCCGATCTCTGTTAGTGCTTTAGCGGTGCTCGGGCCGCTCTTCGGCACCTTGTCGGCATCCGTAGCTCGTTCAGTTGGGGCTGTCAGCTGAACTCTCGTCATATGACCGGGAGTGTCGGTTCTCCTTTCTCCGCTCGGTGGCTGACTGCGAATCGTCCGCCTGCGAATCGTCTGCCGATCCCGGGGCTTTGGTTGCCGGGCTTCCTAAGAGAGGTGAGACGTCGTAGCTCTTTCTCCCTTCGAGGGCCGCCCCAGCGTGGCAGAGCAGAGGTCGTGGGAACCTTTCCTCGCATCTGCACAACAGGGAAGCTTAAGAGTTTAGCGGCCAGCGGGAAGGCGAGAAGGCGCCTCTGCTGCCTTTCTGCCCAACCTCGCTCGCATAGACCTTGCTGTCGCGGTGCAACTCGGTAGAGGAAGGAAAAGTAAACGGCCTTTCTCCTCGCTCCCGAGGGGCCCGTTGCCAGCAGTGCATTGTAGCCGGCCCTGCAGAGACTCCCCAATTCAATGTCTTGCCTCCAGCGCCGACCCTTTAGGCTTCCCAGGGGAAGGTCACACAAGGCGGCGGTTCTTTGCCACCCTGCTGCTCTCAGACGTGTTTTTTTTTCCTTGACCTTGTTTTAGGGAAAATAACTTATTAATATGATTTTCCTGATCTCTCAGTTCTCTTAATATTCAGACAGTGGCTTCCCTACAGAAAGAATAAGTTAGATAGGTCAGATGCTTTAAGCAAATAGATTAGAATTCTTTGTTGGCCAAGTGTGATTGGACACACAAGGAATTTGTCTTTGGTATATATGCTCTACCGGTATATACAGTATATACTTTACCCAATATATACCGAGTAGATGTAATAAAACAAATTTTGCATATATTGATTGTGAGACGGGAGCTGCTTGTTCCAAATATTTTAGTTCTCTGAATCTTTGTGTTTGCTGAATTGCTATTGTTCATCCCATCAGTTTGTTAAATATAGGAATGTATTTCTTGTATTTCTTACCACGCTGCTTTTAGAGAGAGACAGATTATTTGCAGGGCGATATAGCTGAACTTGGCTAGGTTCTTCTGAACAAATCATAGGCCAGATCATTCCTGCAGCTGCCTTTCTCTGAACTAAACCTTGCTTTTGCTAGCATTGCTTTAACAAAAAAAGGCCGTAATAGCTGTTTCATCCAATAATAGGTGTGTATTTGCAGGGGAAAGGAAGGAAGGATTAATCTGGTTTTTGCAGATATGGTTAGATGACTGTAATACAGTTTCAGCTGGTTTGGTCAGGTAGAGTTGGCTAGTACTGATCAACATCCTGCCCTAGTCATGACTTGATGCAATAAAAACTAAATAATTGTTTTGGCATCAGAAATTTAGAGTAGGCCAGAAACTATTTGAGGAGAAAACAAAATGGTGAAGGTCATTGGTGCAATGATATTTAGCTGTCCTTCTGCTTTTCTATGTTAGCATAAACAGTTGATATTACATTGGGATATTAAATACAATTTGTCCATGTTTTTTCAAAAATAAGCTGTGTTCTGTGATCAGTTGCACTTAAATTTTGGAAAAGCATGTGTAGAAAGTTTTAGTTTGAAATGCAAAATTTAAAATATGAAACAATAAGAAGAACCAAATCCAACAGCTGGTTTCCAGATGGAATTGGATGTGGAAACTTGAGTTGGGATTCTTTTCTTTCATAAGGGATCTCTGTTTAATAAGTAACAGGAATTTTATTTTGGTAACAGATGTGTAATAATGGGGTGGTATTTTGCACATTATTTTGTTTCCTGAAGTAAATTGTTACATGCAATTTACAGAACTCTAACTAAGGAAAAGTAACCACAATAAAGTACATTGTAAATAATAAAAACAATACTATCCCATTATTTTGTTTTCTGAAGTAAATTGTTACATGCAATTTACAGAACTCTAATCAAGGAAAAGTAACCACAATAAAGTACATTGTAAATAATAAAAACAATACTATCCCAATTTACAGCTATTAAAAACATAGTTTAAACAAGCCATACTAATTATGTATCAAATAATTATTTCAGAGGGAGTGCATTTTTGTATAATAGTTTAACTAACTCCAGCTGGAATTCCGTAAGAAAACAAAAAAGGTTTTTATTAAAATGTTCAGAAAATTGGTGCCATTGCATTAAGTCTGGTTCTCTTCTTACTAAATGAGGCGGGACTGTATGCTAAAAAATATTTTCTATAACAAACATTATAATATGGAGCTTTGTCAATCTAGGTTAATAATACAGCATAAACACAGGATGATTCATTTTAAGAGGTATGTAACATTTTTATGTTTATAAGAACTTTTGAAAGTAGTTCAAAAGTTGAATTATTGAATTAAATAGATTTCTTGGTTTGCTTTACCTCAGCCAAGGAATTGTTTAATTTTCATAATTTAAATAGTAGCAAATATAAAACTATCTGTTTGAAGCACATAACATGGTGGTTTCCCTTTTAATATATTTTAATTCTATGCCATATATATTTTAGTATAAATAAATCTTTTTCATTAATTTTATTACGTATTACAGTATATTAAGTAAAACTAAAGCAACAATCTAACACACACGGGGGGAGGGGGGGTTGGGTTAGAGAGAGAGAGAGTGGGTGAATTATGATTATAATTTCTATAATTGTTTCAGAGATAGTTTAATAGATAAACAAAAATAGCATTGTTTTTGTTTATGTATTTATTACATTCCTCAAATTAAGACATTACAGTAGATTGAGGGGTCCTTGGTGCTCTCTGAGCTTGCTTGTTTTCTTGCAGATGTTTCATTACCCAAGGTAGGTAACATCATCAGTGCTAGTAAGGAGTGGGGTTTGCTGTCAGTTTATCTGTCAGTGTTGTGGGGGAGGTCTTAGAGATTCTTTGATTGGGACTGTTTACTGTTGTCGCTTTGGCAGTTTCTGGGGTATTGTTTACTTGTTTTTTGATTATTGATTTGAAGTTAATAAGCTTCAGACCAACAATCAAGTAAACAATACCTCAATCAAGAAACTACCAAAGAGCCAATGAAATTTAGATCCATGAAAGTAAACTGATTTCAGTGTTCATGTATTGACTGAAGCATTGTTCAGGTTTATTGCAAACTCATATTTATATTTGTTTCCTTAATAGGTTTTAAATTACAGTAATTATGGATATTCGGGGTGCTGTTGATGCTGCTGTCCCCACCAATATCATTGCTGCTAAAGCAGCTGAAGTTCGGGCTAATAAAGTAAATTGGCAGTTGTATCTACAGTAAGTTTTGAACTGGGTATAAATGGTTATAAGTGGCATAATTTCTCTAAAATAGTTACATAAAGTATATGTAGATGTATTGGAAACTAGAGCACTGTTTAAGACTTGGAAAAATCTTGAGTCAGTGGAAATTGGGAAAAATGATTTGTCTGTCACTAGTCATAAAATATTTCAATGTAGTAGTATAATTGTGAACCATACTTCTAGTAACATGTTAAGTAAATTGGCAGTTGTAGCTAAAACCAGGTTTTCAGAATAGCAGATTATTCATTACTTTATTTTAATCAATTATATATTTAGAAAGACATATAGCCTTTCTGGCTACAAATATTTTTTTAACAGCTAGCTATATCCTTTTTCAAAGCTTTTCATCCCACTACTTTTCTTATGTTAATGTATTATTGCTTCATAGCAAAACAAGTTTCTGATGTTGCCTTCATTATTCTTCTTGAAGATACTTGAAAGTTAAAGAAACGCTTATTGGGATAAATAGATGGACAAGATTTTTTAATACTCATCCATATCTGCCCCCTCGTCCCACGCCCAAGACATTGATTGTGTCAATCTGTTTATTTCATTGCACCAAAATATTGGCTTGGCTATATCCTTCCTGCCTATGACTAATACTATTCCTAATTGTTTTTTTGTGTCCTAAGTAAGAAATTATATGATCTTTTGATGAAAGTGTCCAATCCAAATCATTTTAATTTGTTTTTGTCTAATTATCAATGTCTAGTCTTCATTTTATCTTTTAATATATCTGGCCCTTAATAATTGATTGTTTATGTATCACAAAGTTGATGTTGATGCTTAGCATCACATAGATTTTCTCTATGATCACCTGTCCCTAGCTTGATCTTGATTAACAATATAAGTTCTATTCTTAAACTGGGTTTTCCAAATGTGTTAGGAATAATACATCTATTATTTTTTAGCCAATATATTTATTGATTGAAATGTCGTAAGAAAAATGTTATAAAAAGATAATGGAAATGGTCTACAGTACTTGGAATTGTTTGCTGTTGTAGCAGTATAAACTGCTGTGGAAAATAGATGTGAAATATAAAACTTAAACCTTCAGGTTATAAAGAGAAGCCAATTTGATTTGAAACATTAAGTTAACTTTGACTTAAAACGTACATATTGTAACAAATTTGGGGAGGCAGGGGGCATAATGTATCTCCAGAAGACAGCCAGAACATGGCTTACATAAAGGACACATGTATATTTTTAAACAGGAAAAAAGCACTCACAGTTGTCCAAGGAGTTTAAAAACAATTCTTGAAACTAAGTCTCTAACATGAGTGGTAAATACTTTTAAATATGAGATATAAGGTTTTCCTTTATGAGGTGATGTTTTGTTGCCAAGATTGCCCATCCAGTTCATCATTTCCTATTTAAGTTTGGGAATATAAGTGATTTTAGAAGCAATTGTGGGAATTCTGGGGCAGAAATAAATAAAGTCTACAAATCAGAAGCGCTAAAAAAAGATTCTTTTTTTTTTCTTTTGCAGAGGGCTAATGATTTCAGGAGAAGACTGTGAATTCATTCAAAGATTTGAACAAAAACGGGCTCCAGAAGAAAAGCAAGAATTAATACAAACAGAAGGCAATCAAGTAATACAGTTTCTGTGGGACAAATAATTATTCAGTGTTATGAATTGTTTTGGTTTTATTTTTTTGTTTATTTGTTATTGCTTTTTTTTTTTTGGTTTGGAAAGGTTTGTAGATCTGTTCTTATATGCTGTAGTCAAATTTTTCCCCAAACTACTTACATTATTAATAGTGACAAAGCAAAGTTATTTTGACAGTTTAAAAATAGTGTGTGCCCCTGACAAATATTCTCCAGGGAATAGCAGTTAATCCATATTATGTTATGTTATGTTATGTTATGTTATGTTAGGTTAGGTTAGGTTAGGTTAGGTTAGGCTACGCTACGCTATGCTATGCTGTATTATATTTTACGTTAGATTAGATTAGATTACATTACATTACATTACATTACGTTACATTACATCTTCTCAAATTAGGAATAAATCCTATTAACTTCTGTGGTGTTTCGTCACAATAAAGTTATTCAGCAGTACAATATGTTTACTCTTTTACAAATTATTTGCTATTTTTTTTTTTTTATTTTAAATTCATATACCGCCCTTCTCCCTGAGGACTCAGGGCGGTGTATAGCCAGAATTAAAAAACATAAAATACAAATATTAAAAAACAATTAATATATATATAAATTTGGCCCAAAATTAAAAATACAAACCAATTAAAACATTTAAAATTTCTTCTTAAGCCAGCCCGGCTTGCTGGAAAAAGTGGGTTTTAAGGGCACGGCGGAAGGCACTAAGGTCTTGGATTCTCCTTATCTCTGGGGGCAACTGATTCCAGAGGGTAGGTGCCCCCACAGAGAAGGCCCTCCCCCTGGGGGTCACCAGCCTACATTGATTGGCTGATGGCACCCTGAGGAGGCCCTCTCTATGGGAGCGCACGGGACGATGGGAGGTCGTCGGTAGCAGCAGGCGGTCTCGAAGATAGCTAGGCCCGATGCCATGGAGCGCTTTAAAGGTGATAACCAGCACCTTGAAGCGCACCCGGAAGACCACTGGGAGCCAGTGCAGCTTGCGCAGGAGCGGTGTTACATGGGAGCGCCATGCTGCTCCCGTCACTACCCGCGCTGCTGCATTCTGGACCAGTTGGAGCCTCCGGGTGCTCTTCAAGGGGAGCCCCATGTAGAGAGCGTTGCAGTAGTCAAGGTGAGAAGTGACGAGGGCATGAGTGACTGTGCACAGGGAATCCCGATCAAGAAAGGGCCGCAACTGGCGAATCAGGCGAACCTGACAAAAGGTCCCCCTGGTTACAGCTGTCAGATGTTCCTCCAAGGACAGCTGCATATCCAGGAGGACTCCCAGATTGCGAGCCCTTTCTGTGGGGGCCAAAGACTCGCCCCCAATAGTCAGTGATGGAGTCAACTGACTATATCGGGATGCCGGGAGCCACAGCCACTCAGTCTTGGAAGGGTTGAGCTTGAGCCTGTTCCTCCCCATCCAGATCCGCACAGCCTCCAGGCACTGGGACATCACTTCAAGGGCATCATTGGGGTGGCCTGGGGTGGAGATGTACAGCTGGGTGTCATCAGCGTACTGGTGGTATCTCACCCTGAAGCCACGGATGATCTCGCCCAGCGGCTTTACATAAATGTTGAACAGAAGGGGCGATTATTAATAATCCTGAAACAGTATTCACATTTTGTTATTTGATATGGATTTCTAGAAGATAAATTACATATCTCTGTATGTCACTGATTCATATTTTGACACTCAGTAATTGATAGCGGATGCACAAACTGTTTAAATCAGAATTAATGAATTTTCATGAAAAATTGATTATCATGGAAAAACAGTCTGGTGTTCTCTGTTACAATCTCGTGTTCTCTGTTGTTCAGACAATATTATATTCTACAGTCCCGAATCATTGGCCATGCTAGTAGGCATTACAAATCAAATTGGATAGAATAATCTGGTTATTGGTATATCTGATGCTTAATTTGTGACATGCAGTCATGCATATGTGAATTCACCCTTGTAATACTTTCCACTACCATTATGCCAGCAAGCTTCATAATAAGACAGTTAACAAAAATCTGATAGTTGTGCCACACTATTATAAACTGCATAGTAAATCTGAAGCTACATGCTGCTTTTGTACCTTTAATAGCCATGCTACAGTAAATGGATTGTTGCTTTATTTGTTATATCATATAATCATCAGAGGAGCTGAAGAATCCTTGGAGGTCTTGTAGTCCACCCCGGTCCAACAACTCCATAGTCCAACAATATGTGTTGGTGTGTTATTAACAACAAAACCATGCCATTGTTGTGTGCACAATACTTCAGTTTGAAATGTTTTAAGTTTAAAATAGCAATAGCAAGAGCAAGAGCACTTAAACTTATATACAGCTTCACAGTGCTTTTACAACCCTCTCCTAAGCAGGTTACAGTGTCAGCATATTGCCCCCAACAATCTGAGTCCTCGTTTTACTGACCAGGGAAGGATGGAAGGCTGAGTCAACTTTGAGCCGGTGAGAATCAAGCTGCCAAACTGCTGGCAGCCTGTAGTCAGCAGAATTAGCTGTAGTGCTGCATTCTAACCACTGTGCCACCATGGCTCTTAATCAAATAATTTTATTAAACATTATATGTTAGAAACAACTGTTACAGAAAATACTAAAAACTCAAAATGACCTCAACTCAATGCAGCACTGTTTTGAGTTTGAAACTTTTCACTATGCCTACACTTTTTCCGGCGTCATATAGTCAGCAGGTGCCATCGCTGACTATTGGGGGTGAATCTTTGCCCTCTACAGAGAGGGCTCGCAATCTGGGTGTCCTCCTGGATGCACGGCTGTCTTTAGAAGAGCATATGACGGCCGTGGCCAGGGGGGCCTTTTATCAGGTTCGCCTGATTCGCCAGTTGCAGCCCTTTCTGGACCAGGACGCCTTGCGCACGGTCACTCACGCCCTTATCACCTCCCGGCTGGACTATTGTAATGCTCTCTACATGGGGCTCCCCTTGAAGAGCACTCGGAGGCTCCAACTGGTCCAGAATGCGGCCGCGCGGGTGGTTATGGGCGCAACTCATTGTGCCCATGTGACACCCCTCCTGCGCGAGCTGCACTGGCTCCCAGTGGTCTTCTGGGTGCGATTCAAGGTGCTGGTTACCACCTTTAGAGCGCTTCATGGCTTAGGGCCGGGATATTTATGGGACCGCCTTCTACCACCAATAGCCTCCCACCGGCCAGTTCGCTCCCACAGAGAGGGTCTCCTCAGGGTGCCATTGGCCAAGTTATGTCAGCTGGCGACACCCAGGAGGAGGGCCTTCTCTGTGGGAGCCCCAGCCCTGCGGAATGAACTGCCCCTGTAAATACGTAAGATTCCCGACCTCCGGGTATTTTGCTGTGCACTGAAGACTCTGTTGTTCCGCCAGGCCGGGCTATCAACATGATAATTTTAAATTGGGGTATTTTAAATTTCTGGGGTTTTAAATGGAGCCAAATTTATTTAATAATTTTAAATTTTAAATTGATGTTTGAATTGTGTTTTTAAATAGGCTGTACACCGCCCTGAGTCCTTCGGGAGAAGGGCGGTATAGAAATAAAATTATTATTATTATTATTATTATTATTATTATTATTATTATTATTATTATTATTATTATTATTATTATTATTATATCAGACTAACTTTTCTGAATCTGAAATGTAACATTTTGTGCATCCCTTAAGTACACAATTGTTTCTTGCAAAGGAATCTAGAGGGATATTTTCTTTTCTCTTCTCCCCCACTTTAGTGAAACATTTATGAATATTCGAAGAAAGCTTGTGGAGGGCAGCATAAGTGAGAGTGTCAGAAAGATTTCTTTGCATGGGTGTCCATATAGTCATAGTCCTATTAAGTTATTTTATTATATTCTCCACCAGCCTGTAAAATCCATTAAGGATACTGTTTGAAGAAAGGTCCATGTTAATATAATTGTGTATGTAAATGCAATCTTGTTTCTCTTAAAATTCAGCTGTCATAGTTCTGATCTTTTGGAACAGTGAAGGAGAAAGAGACAAGCTGCCAGAGCACTTGGTTACAAATAATTTTGTTTATTTTTTCCCAAGTTACTTTTGAAAATCAAGTTGGCATTTCAACATATTTCCTTTTGGTTAACGTGATTTAACATACATAATTTACTCTAGGGGCAGGTATTTGTAATTCCTTATTTAAATCACAGCAAATATTAGTCTCTGTGAAGCTGAATTAGAAGTAACAAAATATATGCAGCATTTATTTTTCTATATTGAAGAGAAGAATGAAGCTATTGTTGCTCCTCCATATGAAATCCATTGTCTTAGTGATAACTGAATGAATGGAATTTTGCAATAATAATATGCTTGATGAAAGCATTCTAGCAAATCAATACATGTTAATATTCTGATCCAACAATTTAAAATTGTTTTCACGTTCACTGTACAACCTATGCTTGCAGAAATGCAGAGCAAAATGAGAATGAAAACAATGTCTAAAAATTTATTTTTTTCCTAGTGTGCTAAAACATTCATAAGTCTGATGACTCATATCTCCAAGGAACAGACAGTTCAGTACATTTTAACTATGGTTGATGATATGCTGCAGGTACGTTCATTAACTATTTTCATGATTAACTAATTGATATGCAGATTTCTTATTGCAATAGAGCTGGCTTTTTACTTTATATCCACTTTCCCAGTAATGCTGGGCAGATTACACTTCCTGTGAGTAGGATCCCTTAGAAAATACTTCAGCCATTTTTTACAATGTGGCATGATTACATTTATATCTTGAAATTTCTGAAAGCAAATAATGCATCAATTGATCTACTTGCAAAATGAAAGTTGAATCTGATTGTTAAGATGCTTTTCAATAAGCAGGACTTTCACCATCCTATACAATAAAGGGTAGTCAAGCTATTATCCTCCAGATATTATGAACTATGGCCTGCTATCCTATCCAGCTGACAGTTTTGGCTGTCTCTGTGAGAGCTGCTTCAGAATTATTTGGGTCTGGAAGCTTTGATTGGTGAAAAATGCAGAACTAAACTGCTAACTGGTATGCCATACTTATGTTAAAAGAAATTATTGCCAGTTGCTTTCCAGGCATAATATAAGGTCCTGGTAATCTGGAAACAGTAGCTACTCTCATAAGCACCTATTATTTTTGCCCAGAGATGCTAAATTACTTTTGCTTTATCAATTCCTTCTCTTTGCTTGAATCCTATAAAACAAATAATGCTTACTTAATGTCTTTTATAGCATCTGAATTAATAAATAATCCTTTTATTCTTAGGTATTATTCCAATGAAGTTTGTGTCTTGCAGTTTAACTTAGAATATTTTTGTAGTGTGGCTTTGCTAAATATTGCAGTCATTTGCATTTTTAACGTTGTGTAGTTTTATCAAAACATTAAATTGTTTGGGGGGGGCTGTTTTTTGATCTAGCACTTTTGTATGCTTCAGTATAGATCATTTTAAGTGCTATGATAATAGATACATTGCAACAGTGAATGGCAAATGGACTGCAAGAAGTGTTGATAATGGTGCATTATCATCGGCTTTGATCTAGTTTACTCTTATCACCTAATCATAGTACTAATGCAGGATGAACATCAAAATGTAATTCTATGTATGTGTTGTATGTATTGCTTATCTTGCTGGAACCATTTTAAAATAAATCTTATATAAAGTATCAGTCATAATCCTTCCACTTTGGTAACAATAATACATTTATTTTCCTTTCAACAGGAGAATCACCAGCGAGTTAGTATTTTCTTTGACTATGCAAAGCGGGACAAGAACACTGCATGGTCTTATTTCCTGCCAATGTTGAATCGACAGGATCTTTTCACTGTGCATATGGTAAACCTTCAATCAATAAAAATCTGAAATTGTAAAATAGTATATTCTTCTAGAAAGAACTGAAATTCTGTTTTCTGTATTATTTTTCAGGCTGCCAGAATTATTGCTAAACTAGCAGCTTGGGGACGGGAGCTGATGGAAGGCAGTGACTTAAATTATTACTTCAACTGGATTAAAACTCAGCTTAGTTCACAGGTATATGTAGTCATACTTAATATATCTGTAAATTAAATTACTTCAATTAAAATAGTCTTAACAGAAATTACTATTTTGGGCTGCATCTAATATATTGGTGGAATTATGTTACTTTCAGTGACATAAGATCTTTTTAAAGTGAAGAGAATACAAACATTCACTGGACTTCAAAAAGTTGATCAACGTGGGATGTATGGACATATCCTTGTTGCGGGTCTTCTCTTGAAAAGTGCATGAAACTAATGTATTTAAGTAGCATCACAGAACTAGGAAATTTCCCATTGGCTTTTATGCCAAGAAAAGTTACTGGGTGTGTTACCACACAGAACTCATGATCAAGAGTCGTGGTGGTACAGTGGTTAGAATGCTGTGCTGCAAGCTACTTCTGCCGACTGCTGGCAGTTCGATTCCCATCAGCTCAAGGTTGACTCAGCTTTCCATCCTTCCGAGGTTGGTAAAATGAGGACCTGGATAGTTGGCGGCAATATGCTGACTCTGTAAACTGTTTTCAGAGGGCTGTAAAACACTATGAAGCGGTATATACTGTATTTTCGGAGTATAAGACGCACCGGAGTATAAGACGCATCTACTGTTTTTGATGAGGAAAAGAAGAAAAAGAAATCTCCCTCTGAGAAATTTTGCCTCGTTGCAGCAAACAACCTGCTTTACTTTCATTTTCGTTTTCAGCATAGCTTGATTAGCACAAGGGAAAAAAAATCTGCTCCAGCAATTTACCTCTTTGCAGCAAGCAGCAGAGCCCTGCGCAAAACAGCTGAGAGCAAATCAGCTGAGAGTCGGGAGGCCGATCAATCAACTTGTGCTAACTAGGCTGTGCTGAAGCTTAAAGGAGCTGTTTTTTCTTGCTGTTTGCTTGCAAGGAGGTAACTGCTGTGAGGCAAAGGCCAAAGGGTGGGGCACAGTGGGTGGGTAGGGCTACATTCGGTGTATAAGACGCACCTAAATTTTCACCCCCTTTTAAGGGGGAAAAAGGTGCGTCTTATACTTTGAAAAATACGGTAATTCTAAGTGCTATTGCTATTATATTTTACTATGACAGCAAACTCTATAGAAACCTGTAGACTTCTATTGATTAATGAAACAAAGCAGAAAATTCCAATATGAAATATCTAAATATGTTCCTGAAGTTCATGAACTTGACTGGGTATTTTTGTGGATATTTTCAGGTTAAAAAGGCCATACATGAGAATGAAATAAGGACATCCCATACCCAATTATTCTTTATGAGTCTTCAGAACATAAATTGTGTTTGTAATTGATGCAAATTGCTTCTTTAGATACTTTTCTTTTTCTTTCCTTTATATTATTTTTTCTTTTACCTTTTTATTTTTTCTTTTCCTACTTTTTCTTTTATGTTTCTGTAGTTTTTTAAATCTATGTAAATTTCCTTTAAATAAAAATAATTCTGAGAGTATATCTTTTTCTGTTTTATGCCAGAAACTACGTAGTACTGGAAGTGCTAATGAACCTGGAACTGATGTAAGTATATATTTCTTCAAGAATATAGTCTAGATCTGGGCTAACCTTTGTTCTTTTTGTTTTGTTTTTTAAATTGAACTTTCTCCAGCCTGAAAGTAGCAACAGGCATTTCTACTGTTGGGCCAGTTTCTGATTTCATGATCGATGAATAATTGGAGACTTCTTACTTAAGAAATCATATTATGTACATATCTTTAGGGAAGTGTATTTTTCTTTCATGTAGAGTTCACAATATGTCCAATGTGTTGCTGGGTGTTTGCAGTTGATGCTCAGAGTCAATGAATACCGTTTTGCATGGGTAGAATCAGATGGAGTAAACTGGTGAGTATTTGTAAGAAGAAAAATCAGTGTCTGCTGTTTTAGTGGACTGTCTTGGGGTACATTTAGATCAGGGGTGAAATGCTCCCAGTTCGGACCGGATCGCCCAATCCGGTAGTGATGGCGGCAGGTGGTAGCAAAAATCCCTGTCCCAACCCCATGCCCGGCTGAGCTGCGCAATCATCAGAGGCTTTTTTTAAAAACTTTTAAGAGCATTTTTTCTGCCGAAGAGGTTGCAGAAAAAATGCTTTTAAAAGTTAAAAAAAAAAAAAAGTTGGCCATGCCCACACAGTCACATTACCCCCCCACCAAGCCATGCCCACAGAACCGGTAGTAACAAATTTTACATTTCACCACTGATTTAGATGTCTGATTTAGAAGAATAACATGCCTTTTAAAAGAGACATTCTCTGTGGGTGAGCAGAAGATTGTACTTGAAGAATAATGGGGACTACTTATTATATTATGGACAGGAACACTGGCATGATGAATTATAAACATAAATCCGAATTCATTTAAAATTGCTATTCTGTTCACAATAAACTTGGATGAAATTCCATTGAATGCTGAGGAGTTGCTCCAGGACATTTAAATTAGACGAAAACATGCTCATGTTGAATGTTCAATCAAGGCACTCCATAAGTGCAATTCAGCAGTGAAACTAATAATAGTTGTGGCTTTCAGGAGAACATGTAATTTCATTACCCAGAAAAAATAACAGATGCCTCCCATGGTCATTGCTGATTTAAGAGGTTTACAAGAACTCTAAAAATCAGCCTCTACATGATTTTCCTCTACCTTTTTTTTGAAAAAGAGAGACCAACTTTTCAAGATCTTGGGAATAAGGGCAAAATAGAGACTGATCAGATAGAAACTGTATTTTCTATATGTCTTTTCCCCCCCTCCAGTATAATGGGAGTATTGAGTAACAAGTGTGGTTTCCAGCTTCAATATCAGATGATTTTTTCTGTCTGGCTCTTGGCCTTCAGTCCCCAAATGTGTGAACACTTGCGACGTTACAATATTGTTCCTGTTTTATCTGACATCCTTCAAGAGTCTGTAAAAGAGAAAGTAACCAGGATCATTTTGGCAGCATTTCGGGTGAGTGGATGAAGCACATTGACCAGATGAAACTGGCTGTGGTGTGTGCTTATATATATATTGTAACTTGGTGTTGTTTGACTGTTTTCTTTTCAACCAAGAGTTGGCTTCTGAACTGGAAGGGCTTCAGTTGTTTGTTCTTCGCTGTAGTTCCAATTCATACCAAGGCCCTATGCCTGAGAGGGGTCTGTTTGCTGGCAATATTTATTTTGGGACAGGGTTTTCCAGTATGGGTTTTCCACTATTGGAGGAAGGTTGTGCCACAGCCTTAAATTGGATTTACTGTACATTGCCTATTAAAAAAAAGAGAGAGAGATGCAGCATTAAACTGCATGGTAAATGTCATGTCCACCAAACCATTTTCCCTTAATATTTTCAGATTTTAAAGTTGTGAAGCCAAGTACTGTATGCCTTTATCTGGAAGACTTGTGCACCTATCATTTGGTGCTTATGAATCACATGCTCTTAAGTGCAATCCACTATACTCCCACACTCAAAATCTCCTTCCCTTCATGCAACTTTCACAGGCAAGGAAGCTCATTACTCCAGAGTAGAAATTGGGGGCGTTCCAGTAGCTGTAGAAGGAAAATGAATCTCCATTTTCCAATTCTGCTGATAGAGTTTTATAGAGAAAAGCCATTGGACATCATTTTCTCTAAATTGTTTTGGAGACACTGAGGGTCTGAGCAAATGTTGTTAATGGTGATGGATTGATTATGTGCCATCAAGTTGGTGGTAACTCTTATCAACCCCTTAAAAACATTTTCTCCCTGATAATCTGTTCCTAACTTGGTCCTCCAAATTTTCTAATGATGCATCCATTGCAATTGTAACTGAATCCATCTGAATGACGGATATACAAAAATATAAAAATATAAAATATATATTATATCTGAATATAAAATATACAAAAGTATGAAGGCTATTGCTTAACGCATTGTAAGCCACCCTGAGTCTTCGGAGAAGGGCGGCATAAAATGACCACTTTGCTGCTGGTCATTCTCCTCTGTTTCCTTTCATCTTTTCCAGCATTAGAGTCTTTCTCAGAGAAGAGTATACATTATACTTCACATAATGTATCAGAAGTAGGATAATTTGAGCTTGGTCATTTGTGTCTCCAGTGAGTTGATTTGTATGTTGATCCTTTTATTTGTTTCCTTGGCTGTTATGGTATCATTTTAAGTATAAAGGTATACTTTTTTTCTTGTAAGCTTACTGGAGGGAACAGCTTAGTGATATTATAAATATTAAAATATATAGGCACAAATCACAAAACAATATATTTTTCATTTATGATAGATGACATTTTAAAAATCCCTTATATTTTTCCCCTAGAATTTTCTAGAAAAGTCCACTGAGAGAGAAACCCGCCAAGAATATGCTCTTGCCATGATCCAGTGCAAAGTACTGAAGCAATTAGAAAATTTGGAGCAACAGAAATATGACGATGAAGATATAAGTGAGGATATAAAATTTCTGTTGGATAAACTTGGAGAGAGTGTCCAGGATCTCAGGTACATTTTGCATTTAGAATCTTAAAAGTAAGAATGTTGGTCAGACTTCAGTTAAAACTCTTTTCCTCACAAAACTATTGGTTATGATCAGCTACAAGTTGAGACATTAAGTAAATAGTTAATCTCAAAGTGCTGTTTCTAAAAACTTTTCAGGAAATAATTTTGAGGGCCCTTAAAAAAACCTCTTCTAATAAATTGTGTCCTTAGATGGTTTGTACTTAAAATTTAAAAAGTCTGGTGGTCACAGCTACCACAATTAGTCTTTCAATTACATCCCTCATTATAACAAAAACTCCAAATAATGTAGAATCAATAAAGGCTATTAACATTATTAACATAATTAACTCTTCTTAAATTTAAATGATGATTTTATTATCCAAGTTCAGATACCTGGATAATGAGTGAATTTCATAGAGTTTATAAATCAATATTTTGAAGGATAAGGCAAATGTTACAAGAGAGAACAATCTCTTAGAACAGGGACCCCCAGCCTCCAAGCTGCGACCCATTACTAAACCATGGCTATTGAGAATTAGGCAGTGTGAGTGGCTGGCCAGAAAGTTTGGTGACCGCTGTTTTAGAACAAAGAATGTTGCATCTGATTTTTCTCAACAATATTACTACCACTTTAAAAATGAAATTGTAAAATCAATAAACTCTAGGAGAAACAGCTTTAACAGGATAGCAGTTTTTTCTTTGGTATTAGGAAAAGAAAAATATAAATTTTTATCTCTTTAAAATAGAGGTTTAAAAAAATAAAAAGTAGATCAGTTGAAAAACAGGAAAAGCATAAAAGGAAAAGCATTTTGGAATACACAAGTACGTTTTAATCACATGGAATAATATTGGCAGTCTTCCTATTATACTGATATCAAACTAGTTCATAAACAGAAAGGGAATACATATTACTGATCCAAGATTGTCACTCTGGGATCATGCTGTCTTTACAATATTGAAGAGTAATTTGTTTTTGCTGGCCCCCATGCTTGATGATTCCATAATTCCTTATATAATAATATGCTCAATATTTATGCTGTATAATTTAAAAGTATACTTATAACTTTAAATTGTAATCATCTTTGTAATATCATATCATATATAAAACCAAAATAGGGCAATAGTGGCTGATGAGTAAATAATTTGAGTAGGTATTCCTATGCCCATTTTACACTTTCAGTATAATGGAATTGACAGCCAATACCTTTAAAACATTCTCTACAGTGCCCAGTAAACATGACAAAATTAGTCTGGTAGTTAAGATTAGGAATGTGCAGCTATTTAAGTCCGGTGGAAAAAGCAATAGGGCATCATATATTGTTCTCAAGGATCTTTTGTTCCTAAATTCATCTTCAATTTTTCTGCAGTTCTTTTGATGAATATAGTTCAGAGCTTAAGTCGGGAAGACTGGAATGGAGTCCTGTTCACAAATCTGAGAAATTCTGGAGGGAAAATGCTGTAAGATTAAATGAAAAGAATTACGAACTGTTGAAGTACGTCCTGAGATTCCCTCCTTTTTCCCCCATTTTTTCTTTAACAATTGAAATGTATGTGTTGCTCAGAATAATGAAAATTGCATTTTAAACCTCTAGGCAAGATGAAATTTAAATTTCACTTCAAGGAAACACTTCTTCTTTAAACAAAATATTCTTTAGATTGCAACCCTTCTCCTTATTGTTTTGAGGAGTGTCTTTGGCATTCCTACTGAAACCGTTCTGTTTTAAAACCATATGATTGTGAAAGAGCAAATCATATTTTTATTGTTTTAAAATGTAGGCTACAACAAGGGTATTAGCTTATAAATTCTGTGTTATGAGATGGAACAAATATTTGTACTTCATTTCTACTAAGTGGAACCACCACTTTGAACTCCAGAGAAGCAAACATATATAGATGTAAATCTTCAACTCTTATTTCCTGAAAACATATGGAGACTATTGAAGATTGTGGAATGAGCTACTGTAAGGTTCATGGAGTCTCCATGCAAATGCAAATAAATAACATTAAATTAAAAATCAGCATCAAGTATATGTATGCTCCATCTGAATATAGCACATTTCTTCAGCGAAGCCAAAATATTTTAGATATTTATATTATCCATTCAAACTGGTATGTTCCTACACCTGTCAGTGATTTTTTTAAACTTATAATTTGGATTTCTGGCTTTGAAACCTAATTTGGATGCATATTAACGCAATACTTTTAGTTGTGCGTGAGTCACATTGACAACTTTCAAAAATACCGATATGCCTTTGTTCAGAAATTCACTGAACAGTATACCTCATTATTTGTAATCAAAGGAATAAAATAATTAAAACATATTTTCATGGTATATTTTAATAAGATAGTTTATTCTTTTCATATGGTTAGTGAAGTTGTAAGTTGATATGGACTTTTTAGAAATAAATATTTTTAAATATTTGGATGCATATTCTAATATTTTAAACATTCTAATATTTTGTAAAAAATTTAAATCTTACTATATAAAATTGTATTGTAGAATTTTGACAAAACTTTTGGAAGTATCAGACGATCCTCAGGTTTTGGCTGTAGCTGCTCATGATGTGGGAGAATACGTACGACACTATCCTCGAGGAAAACGGTAGGCAAAATTTACTCCTTAAATCTGCTTCAAGTTATTGTAGTAGTTATTTCAATTTTTCATGGAAGTTTTTATATGGTTGTGTGCAACTATAAAATGTGTGCAACAGCTGTCCTATTAATTGTGTTAAGCTTTAAATCAGGAGTGTCAAACTTAAAGCCTGCGGGCCGGATCCAGCTCTCAAGGTGCTTAGATTTGGCCCACGGGGCCACCCTCGAAATACCAAAGGACCGGCCCGCAGTACCTCTGCCAGTGAAAATGGAGCTCAGGAGGGCCGCGCACAGCTCCGTTTTCACTGGCAGAGGGTTGCAGGAGAATCCTCCAGCCCTGCCTGAGCCACCACAGCTGTCCCCTGACATGAGTGATGTCAAGCTGGCCATGCCCATGCTGGCCACACCCATCCTCCGCCCAAGGTCAAACACAACCTCAATGAAATCAAGTTCGACACCCCTGTTTTAAATATGAGTATTTACTTGGATTATTTGAGGATGTGTAAAATAATCTACATGTCCCTTGGAAAATGAAGTTAATACTGGTTTTTAAAACACAGAGGAAATCAAAATCCATTAACATATGCAACTAATCTCTTTTTTTAATCTTTAAAAATTCTTGTTATTCTGTTCATATTTCCTACTGCTTCCCCTGGAAGCATTGACAGTGAATTCAAAACAGACTCCAGTCTTGCAGTTATCTGGCATTCAGTCCCCTTAGGCAGCCATTCCAAGAGAAAATGGGTGCCTGGCTTCCATGTTGCATTTAATAAAATGACAGAAAGGTGAAGAGTGAGAATGCCATTTTGACCATAAACCATCTGAAGAACATACATTTCTATGGCCTCTGAAGTAGGATGATTTCATGCCTGTTATTACATTTTCATTGTGTAAGGAAAACTATTTATAATTTTTATGCTAAAGTAATGTGTATTTTGATTATTTAGAGCTGAACTCTTTTACCTTCTATTTAAAATTTGGAACAAGGTGACTTCCCTACAAGTTCATAATTTGAAATTTCTAATTGTGAGAAATCAGAAGAGGAAGTAATATCAATCGTATATCTGCCCATGTCATTTTTACACACCCCGCTACCCTTTCTCTTTCTTTCTTTCTTTGTTTAGTGTGATTGAACAGCTTGGTGGAAAACAGCTTGTGATGAATCATATGCATCATGAAGACCAGCAGGTTCGCTACAATGCCTTACTTGCTGTGCAAAAGTTGATGGTTCATAATTGGTATGTGATGGCTAATTTTTATTTCTGTATTGACAAAAGGAATTTTTCTCATTCATTAAATCTTAATTATGAAGTATCGTAAATCTAAATTATGAAGTATCAGTGATTAATAATGATATTCTGGTTATTTTTGTTATTCACACCAATAAATGAAAGTAATATTGCTGAAATGGATTTGTATGGCTTTTTATTGGTTTTTTTCCCCTATACATTTATGATATTTCAGTACTTGACAAGGGCTTATTTGTACACTTCAGTATTTGTGAGTTGTCAATGGATGTTTAATGACATATAACTTGATCTTTGTTGACAATTTGTGCTTTTTGCTTACTTTTTTGGTATATTTTACTGAAATTTCTTGCAAGATTTTATTCTTCCATAATATGTTGTCCCTGAAATCTATCTGTATGTGATTGATAAAATATAAATAGAATTTAATGCACATTCTCTCTATCCATCTAGTAAAATGTATTAATTGCAGAAATTACAAATAATTAACTTGCCTACTTGTTTTTCATACAAATCTATATGTATATTTTATTAATATTAACTGGAGTTTTTAGGATTTGTATTACAAAAAAATCTACACCCTGTCAGGCAGCGCCTAGAATTTAATAGCATTATTGCTTATGCAGCAGACATAACATAATCAATACTAGTTTACTTGGGCTCTACTTTTTCTGCAATTTTTCAGTGGCTACTTAGAATGCATGCAGCACTATCAGTGACAGAACGTTTAGCTCAACGTCAAGAAAAAAAGTTAAAGCATTCATTTAAAAGTCCAGAAAGTCAGGAATGCAATGGAATTGAGATTGAGGCATTATTTGCTGAATCTCATTACTCACAATCAAAAGTTAAGACATCATCTAAAACCATATTAAAACTATACATATTAAAATATTAAAAACGAACCTGGTGCTAAATCAAACCCTTAGTGTGCAGTTATCCAATCTGATACCAACACTTGGGAGAAAAGCCAGGACTTCAAAGCCAAATTTCAGTGTGCAGAGTGTTCCATAGTGCAGGTTTTGTCATGAAATAGGCATGCTTCCTAGCTCCCATTGGATGGTAATATTTAGGGGAAGGGACTAGATATGTGCCTACCCTATGTGACCTGGTAGGGCAGGTAGATGTTCTTAGAAAAGAGGTCCTGCAAACAACCTGTCCCTGTTCCTGGGCTTTAAAGATGATGACCAGCATGTTGAATAAACCAAGAAAGAAACTGGAAGCCAGCGTAGCTCACACAGCAAAGATGTTGCATGGGTAAACCTAGTGGTTTCCATTACTGTGCATGCTGTTGCATTCTGGACTAGTTGACATTCTTAAAGGGCAGCCTCATGTAGAACGCATTGCAGTAATCCATAAGGCAGGTGACCATGGCATGAGTGACCATGAGCAAAGCCTCCCAGTCCAATTTATCACCACTCCTTTACATTTTTTTTCTTTTTTTTGAAAAATAGTGGTATTCTAAAACATAAATTTGCAATTACTGAGCAGGCCTTCTTGAACATTATTGTTCTCACTGTTTTGGCATCAATCTGATTCTCACTGATGGCTACATGCATTATTCCATCTCACCAATAAGTGTCCCACTATGCCTTGCATCTATTCTGTGCTAATGCATCAAATTATCTATAATTCAAAAAGTAAATTTTTGCTTCATGTTGGCATAAATAGCATGGCCCTACATTGTGAGACGCACATATAGTCAATTTTGTATGATTTTCTTTTTGAATGATTTATGAATATTGGGAGGGGGGAAGCATATATAAAAACCATGTATACCATAGCAGACCTTAACAAAGTCTAATAATTTTCAGAACTGCAAGCTACTTCCAATATAAAGCTAGTGAATTAAATTACTGCATTAGAGATAGTGTGCTAACAAATTATTTGTAATCATGCACTGCACAAGGCTTTTGGTCTTGAAGAAGTGCATTAGAGTCAATTACTGTGCATGTTTCCTGAGGCTTACAGTATTTAGCAGAAGTGGCAGCATTACATACATATAATTCCTTTATTTAAAAGTAAAATAAAACTGATGTAATTAAATGTATAGTGTTTATGAACTATATATTGTATTAATTAGAAAGCTAATTTTTGTTGTTTGAAATTAATGTTATAATTTCATTTCATTTCATTTATTAAAGTTTTATACCGCCCCTCCCCCAAAGGACTCGGGGCGGTGAACAGCCAGGATTAAAAAACATACAGTATAAACATTAAAATACTTTAAAACATAATTAAATCTATATTGGCTTCCCCCAATTTAAAACCCCTTACCCATAAATTAACCAATTAAAATTTTTTTAAATCAGCCCGGCTTGCTGAAATAAAGTCTTCAGAGCCTGGCGAAAGGTCCGGAGGTCCGGGATTAGTCGTATCCCTGGGGGTAGCTCATTCCAGAGGGCGGGTGCATAATAATGTGAAGCTGCATAAATATTAGACCTAAAATGTTCTTTTAACTTGCTCTCCAAGTTAATTTAACAATGTATAGCTGTTTTTTCTTTCCAGTAATAAATGTTGTCTTCTGGTCTTTTGCTACAGAGATTATGTTCAATGTCCTTGTTATTTTTAGTTTAACCTTTCTGTGCATCATACAATATAACTGAGCTGGCATACGTGTGCAGATGAAAAAACATATTTTCTTGCAGAATCTAAATAAGAGTCAGTCACAATTAAGTTGCTCTAAGTAAAAATTCAGTTCTTCCCCTGCTTGTCTTGTTGCAAATGTCTTTATTCAAGCACTGTAAATTGATGACATGTTCCAGACACCCCCCACCCTTTTAAATTCAGGAGCACAAAGTGCTGTGTTTGGTTTGATTGATTCTCAAACGTTAGCACAATTTCATAAAATTCTGACTCTTAAGCTTCTACAACTTGTTAATATTCTACTTCTTTCTTAACTGTGAAACATTAAGTACCCAACTTTTAGAGATTATTAGATTTGAAGAGATTAATATTAACCAATGTGGTGCAATAGTTAAAATATTGAAGAAGGATTGATGAAACCTAGTCTGAAATCCACCTTTAGGCATTGCAAACTGACTGGATAATTTTGATCCAGTGTCTCTTTTTCAATCCAACCTTTATCAAGGGATTGTAGGGATTGAATGAAGTGAAATCCCCATATATATATCCCTGTCTGCATAGGACTTTTTAGGTACACAGATGTTGTGGAATAGTGTAGCAGAGATGAGGAGAAGATCATCTTGCCTTAATTTTATTGTAGAGAAATTGCTGGTTTTCCTAGCAAAGCTGGTGCATTACAATCTCTGTAGAAAGACCACATGATGCCTTATTTTTCATCACCTTTTCCAACAATTATTGTATGATGTGCAATAAAATTTAAAGCTGCTATATGGTCAATGCCCATCTAATATAAACTAGCATGAGTACTGTTTGATATTTGGTTTCCTTATTTAAAATTCAAATTTGAATACGTTCTCAAAAGTAGAATCTCTAAACTGTGAAAGGATTGACTGGTCTTCAGACAGTAAATTGCATACTTGTTTTTCATTGCCTCTTGTTGTTTATTCCTTTCTGGAAAAACTCCATTTAAGTATTGTCTTTTCATATTTTTTTCTCTTCCCTTTTCCACATTGTTTTTTTTGTAGGGAATATCTTGGAAAACAGCTACAGTCAGAACAGCCTCAAACAGCTGCAGCACGAAGCTGAGCCTCAACTCTCTTTGCTGAGAATAATCATAATTGCTACAAGTACCTTCAAGTACACAGAAGAAAATAATGTAGTTGAAGTCCCTTTAGCTGTCTGCTACTGTGAGCTTTCCTTCCAATAAATCTTCCAATCTTGTTGCCTGAAGGGCCTTGTCTTGTAAATCATTTCATTTGCTAGCAAGAATACAACAGAATATCCAAGATAGCTAATGTGTAATGTCTTTATTTTATGTATTTATTGTCTTAAAAAAATAAAGAATAATTATTCCTTATTGTTTTTTTATTGTTCTTTATTGGCTGCAAATTAGTGATTAGGGTTTTTTCTTATTGATTTATTTATTGAAAGCATTTTTATCTTTGGCACCAATTTTTTAAATTATGGATTTAGATACAATTTTAGTGAGAGGAGATGAAAAACCTGGCAGAGTTGTCGTTTAGCACAATGAATGGAATTGTCCTGCTTGCCATTCCCACACCCTTTCTGGCTGGCTCCTTTTCATGAATAAGTCAATCATTGGTTAGGAGGTACATTGTATGCACAAAGACTCTGCTGCCAACATCCTTCCATGCCTACAGGGAAAGCTCTTTCCATGTTTACTATTGAGTAGTAGAGTGGTCATGATCATGGATACAAGTGTAATACCTTCAACAAAAATAATTCAACGAGACTTGCATGTTTATATTCATAGTTTTTTATATAGGTATTACATATCTATAAATGTCTAGACAGAGGTTGCTTTTTAAAAAAAGCATATGTGGAGAGATTTGACTCCTTGTGATTCAGTGGATAGGCCCATGTAGTTTTCATGGCGGCATGGCAGATATTCTACTGCTGCCATGAAAACTACATGGGCCTATCCACTGAATCACAAGGAGTCAAGTCTCTCCACATATTTTTAAAAAGCAACCTCTGTTTAGACATTTATAGATATGTAACACCTATATAAAAAACTATGAGCTTACTGTTACTGCCCCCCCCCCTTTTTTACTTCCTAGTCTAGTTGCAATCTAGTTTAGTATTTGCTGAGGATACCTCCATCAAAATATTAATCAGCTCCAATTTTAATTAGTATTTTGGGAATAATTTACCTGTTGTGACCTGCTTTGATCATATTGTTACTGGATGTTATTTAGTTATAATATAAATATATAATCAATCCAGATAAAAAAATGAGTCTCTTACATTAGCTATATATTGTGATTCATAGTTTCCTGGCCTATTAACGAACTTCAATTGGAGAAACAAAGTAAATTAATCTGAATATTTCTTTTTAGTTGTATATACCCTGTTTCCCCTAAAATAGGATATCCCCTGATAATAAGCCCAATCAAGCTTTTGAGCGACAGGGTCTTATTTTCGGGGAAATACTGTATTAGGCTAGAAAAGTCAGAATAGATAGCCACAGTTTTGACACTTTGGAACTGGAGACAATATAAAGAAAAGGGAATGTAGGTGATAAAAGTACATTAGGGTGACTTCTCTGGCATGTGATATGTTAGAAAATAAGTAATACTAAACAAAAATGTTTACATTTCTGCAATTAGCACTATCCAGCTTATTTTTCCAGTGACTCAGTGATTCATGTGATTCTCATAACATACCGGTACTTTTAGCTTAAAGAACAGTGATTGACAAATCTTAGAAGAGATAAAAGGGTATTTCTTTGCAGACGATGGTACACACTAGGATAGTATCTGTATCCATCCTTTAAAAATTCACATTAAACATGGTTAAGTAATTTTAAAAAGTGATGTTGATGTAAACATTTTAAAGTGTAGAAGACATTTCTATAACATAGAACAAAAAATTGTTACAAGATAAAATGTTAATGTCAGAACTGTATTAGAAAATTGGAGAAATATCCTCTAACTGATTCAACCACAGTAAAATGTTATAAAAGTGAGTTATATCATTTTGGGGTGGTTATTAGATTTTCTGTTAGTTTACCTGTACAATAAGAATTTCAACACAAGTGTATGTATACTCTACTGGATAGATAAACATTTTCCAGGGTAATCTGAAGGCCATAGCAAGGTAGGTGGATTTGATTATAGTGGCAAAAGGTACTTTGTGGGGAGACCTGAAGGGCTAGATTAGGGACAGTTAGGCAGGTCTATTTATGTTGTCCCTAAAACTTGATGGCACTTAATGCTATTGCTGTTGTTCGGTCATCTGGTTGCTTATGACCTTTTGTCACTTGATTGGGCATCATTTCACCTGATTGTCAAGTAACTACTACTTATTGATGATGAATGCTGGGTAACAGAGAAAACGAAACAATACCAAACAGAAGTCAGGATGAATCCCAGAATATTTCATTGTCCTCATGAGGAATATATAGAAGCCAGGAAACCACAGTGTGGACAGAATATGGTGAAAGAGAGTCTAGGTTGGCAAATGAGGGCAACAAAGATATATACTCTCCCCTTTTTAGAGAATGGATTGGATGAACATGGTTTTAAAATGGGTGGAAGAAACATCAGTAACCTTCTGATATAGTATGCTGAGGATACTATTCTGGTAGAATGCAAATGTTCTGTACCCTTTAGTAATAAAAGTAATAAAAAATATTTATGTGTTTTATCTTGTGGCTGTTCACCGCCCTGAGTCCTTCGGGAGAAGGGCGGTATAGAAATTTAATAAAATAAATAAATAAATAAAATAAAAGTCAAGGAGTGCAGAAAGAAAATGGACTAAAATAAGACTAATGACCACAGGTAGAACAATGAGCATTAGACATGACAATGAAGATGTCAAAATGGTAGATAGCTTCTGGCTTTTAGGATCAACCATCAACAGTAAAGGAACAAGCAGTCAAAAAATATGCCTCAGATTAGAATTTGATGAGAACACTCATGAAGGCCCTGGAAAAGATATTTAAGTGTCACAACATGGTTAGGGCTACAAAGATCAGAACTGTGCAAGCCATGTTACTCTTTATGACACTCTTTGGAAACAAAAATTGGACATTGAAGAAGATAGGATAAGAAGAGTATTGAAGCTTTGAATTTTGTTGTTGGAGAAGACTCTTGAAAATACCTCAGAGATGAAGAAAACAAACTAATGGATTATCAAACAAATCAACCCAAGAGTTCTCATTTGAGGCACAAATGACCAGGCTTAAATTATCCTACTTAGGACCCATCTCTCTGGAGAAGGCTTTATTGCTAGGAAAGAGATCAGGAACATTCATATTTTTAAAAGATATCCATATTTTGTAATAGCCTATATCAGTAAACCTTTTGCATATTGAAAAAGCAAAACAGATGTTTTTTAAGAAACACTTGACTTCTCCATTTTCCTCAAATGTTAGTCATGTGAAGTTGTGTGTTCCTTTTTGAGCTATTTTATTTATTTATTGTTTATTTATTGGTTCGATTTATATGCCGCCCTTCTCTGGAGGCTCAGGGTAGCTTACAATGCGTTAAGCAATAGCCTTCATACTTTTGTATATACCTGCTTAGTAGGGCTTTCGGCCCACCTAAGTGGTGTTCTTTTTTATACAAAGTCAGTTTATTGCCCCCACAGTCTGGGTCCTCATTTTACCTATCTCAAAAGGATGGAAGGCTGAGTCAACCTTGAGCCTGGTGAGATTTGAACTTGCAGTAATTGCAGGCAGCTGGTGTTACTTAACAGTACTTTAGTCTGCTGTGCCACCAAGGCTTCATTCTAAATTCTTGAAATAAAAGATACAAGGCTTCTCCAATGTAAAGTAACCAATACAAATTATTTCTGTTCACTGATTCCCAGAACATCAATTTTAATGCTGACATTATTATTCTAATGATATTAAGTTGCCTTGTTTCATGATTTGACATTCCATTTAATAATGGTTTATACATTGTTTGCAGCCTATACTTTATGTTTATCTTTGATCTGAGCAACTGATCTAACTGATCAATTTTAATCCTGCCATATCATAAGCTTCTGTGTGATTCATATTTGACCTCTGCTCTTCCTCAGTTGAATATCATCTCATGAGGATGCTCATCTTTGATTATTATAGTGTCATTGTCCTAGTGTAAATGTCCATTTGGTCTTGGACTATAATGGCATGTATGTTTGTTTCTTCTTTCAGGAAGGCAGTTATCCTGCACTATCAGTATAGGTGTTCTTGCAAATTTAAAGGAAGAAAACAAACTGCAATCCCACCTCCTCATTGCAGATGACAAGAGCTGCTCCCTCCATTTCCATGAACTTCAACTATGAGGAGGAGGAAGTATTCCCCATTGTCCTCTTTGCTGCAGAGAGCTGAGATATTCCTTAAATTCTAGCAATAGCACTTAAGACTTATATACTGCTCCACAGTGCTTTAGTTAGTTTACTTATTGTCATTGCACTTCGTACAACAAAATTAAATGCCATCTTCAGTGTACGTTATACATAAGAAAATTATAAAAATAAAACAAAAACACACATCCTTCACATTCTATACAATTGAATTGAAAACCCTTGATACTGCATTAATAATATACTATACAATAGAATTCAATATAGTTACTGCTCTGGGATAGAAGCTGTTTTTCAGCCTATTTGTCCTTGTTTTTATTAGTCTGTACTGTCTGGCAGATGGTAATAGTTCCAAAAAAAAAAGGGTGCCCAGGATGAGATGGATCTTTAAGAATGTTTTGAACTTTCTTAAGGCAGCAGGAATTATAAAGCTCTTCCAAAGATTTGATTTAATTTAATTTAATTTAATTTAATTTAATTTAATTTAATTTAATTTTAAATTTAAATTTAAATTTAAATTTAAATTTAAATTTAAATTTAAATTTAAATTTATATACCACCCTTCTCCCGAAGGACTCAGGGCGGTGAACAGCCAGAAGTAAAAAACATCAAATACAAAATATAAAAACAATTTAAAAATGAATTAAACAATTTGGCCCGACAGTTAAAATCCCCCATTAAAAATCCAAATTAAAATACACAATTGGAGAGATTAGGCCAGCCCAACTTGATGAAATAAAAAGGTTTTGAGGGCCCAATGGAAAGTACGTAAGTCCGGAATCGTCCGTATCCCCGGGGGGAGCTCGTTCCAGAGGGCAGGTGCTTCCACAGAGAAAGCTCTCCCCCTGGGGGCCGCCAGTCGGCATTGTTTGACCAATGGAACCCGGAGGAGCCCCTCTCTGTGGGAGCGGACTGGCTGGTAGGAGGCTCTTGGTGGCAGAAGGCGGTCCCATAAATATCCCGGCCCTAAGCCATGAAGCGCTCTAAAGGTGGTCACCAACACCTTGAATCGCACCCCGAGGACCATCGGGAGCCAGTGCA